AAACGCTTGTACATACACGTGTGTATAGTTATAGTGTGTGCCACTTACTACCAACAACTGAAGAGATCTGTGTCCGTGTCCTTCGTTGTAAATATACATTCACACTTATGGTTCATGCCTGGACACTTGTCCGTCACGTCCCAGTCAAGATGCCTTCCCTTTAAGAGCACGCGTATATGTTGATATACTAGCATGTCTACACTCACACTTATGTAGCTGTCTTATTTATTTTGTCATCTTTTCAGCCAGGATTTCCTTCCTTCCCAGATCAAGCGTATATGTTGATATACTAGCATGTCTATACTCACACTTATGTAGCTGTCTTATGTGTTTTAACATCTTTGCAACCAGGATTTCCTTCCCTCTAAGAGCACGCGTATATGTTAATTTCCCGGCATATCTACACTTACACATAAGGAGTTTTGCACCGTGTACATATACACTTCTGTATGCAGTAACTCGAGCATATCGTTGGCTTTCCAATCACATGTTCTTGCCTACTTTTGAAAGTGTAAATCCAGTCAAAACACATACATGCAGAGTTAGTATGTGGGCGGGATAGGGGGGTTTCCGTGTGCACTTTGATGCCCAGCAAACAAACCTGTGTGGTATCTACATACCCTCCTTGTTGGAGAGAGTTGTGTATGTCTAAACGTCGGTATTGATACGTTCCTGCGTTCGTGATCTATTACGTCATTAGTTGAGTGGTAAAGTGTTTAAGGACGGTTGTTTTTGTATGGTGTAGTTAAACTTACCTACTTCAGACTACCAATGATACTGATGTCAGAGCTATAGTGTTGTGTATAGGTTTATTCCTTTATAGTGTACACACCTACTTCAGACTACCAATGATACTGATGTCAATTGTACCTGCAGGGTTTATTGTGGAGTAATTTTGTGTGGACCGTGGATGGCTTGGCGCTCCTTGGAGAGAGATACAAACTGCAGAATGGCCTGTGGAGGCATAATACATGCACATGATTGGCTGCTATTAATACATTCACACAGCCACAGCCGTGGTCATATATCCGGAATAGACTGCTATGGCATGGGCTGCTACAGGGCTGCAATGAACTATATAAATCTGACGTCATAAACCGATGGACGAGATCAAGATACCCTAAACCCAAAACCCTAGACTTTAAGTCCTAGACCCAAGATTGACAAATGTGTATCCTGTCTGGGGCCCAGTTGAGTCTTTCGTTTCTTGAAATCGTTTAATTTGACGCGAAGTCGCGTCACTTGCTAGCGATGGAGACAACCCCTTATTTTGCACATAAAAATGCAGTGACAGCGTATAAACGGTTATCAAGAAAGTATTGGGGCGGGCCGATAATATGTATGCATATACAATATTCTAAGACTCCGTTCCCAGTATATATTATCCAACCTCAAGGCTGTGAAACTGCGGTTAAGTTTTATGTGGTACAAAGAAACGTTGCTTGTCGCCAGGGGGACTCATACACACACAATCGAGCAATTCATTTGCAAGGGATTAGTTGTAACTACGAGCCTGTTGTTTTATCAGTTGTCATTGCTTATTTGCATGAGATTAGTTGTAACTACGAGCATGTTGTTTTATCAGTTGTCATTGCTTATTTGCATGAGATTAGTTGTAGCTACGAGCCTGTTGTTTTATCGGTTGACCTTGCTTATTGCTTTGTGGCAACCAGTTTTACGGCTATTTTGGAATAGCTTGGCGTTTCCAGATGTCGGATAATTGGTCCCACTGTGAACTATAAACCATAAGGTGTCGGATCAC